GTGCGCAAACGATACTGCCGTGTTACGCAGAGAGGCTGACAAATTGCAGGGTCTTTTTCTCATTTCAAAACGCTTAAGTATGGGTGAATGAAGATAGTCTCCAGCCAGAAAAGTAATAACAGTCGTTATATAAGCACTAAGGCGTTACCACAAGTATATGTTTGGCATAAAGTTTTATATTTTCACTGATCACCAAAATATGAAAATCACTTAGCATTCAGACAAAAATTTGAATAGGTTACCTGCTGTAGTGGTTCAGTGAAAGAATTTAGAAATGACTACTTATAACAATATGGTTCAATACAGATAGGCTTAAGTTATATCCTATCCGGATTTCCTATGACGTTATTCATCGTTCTACTGATACTGATTTCCTATCACTTCAACCGTTACCAGTCGATAGAATACGAATTAAATAATATACTATGAAGTACAATGTAAGCAAAATAAATGCAATGTTGAGCTGTTGGGAACCTGTGTATACAAAAATTCCTTGATATCTATCAACAAGCAAACCAAATAACATTACTGTTATACCTGGTGGTAACTGTAAGTTGGTTTAAAGACCACCCCAGCAACAACTGAAACAGACAACTAGGTTTCGTTATTTCGACTGAAAAGGAAGCTTCTCATAAGATCTAGAACTCTAATTGGTTATCCAAGCGATTGTCAGAGCGGCCATTAGAGTTACTCGTAACTGATCTTAGGTTGAAATTCATCATGGACTGACATCAGTTGGAGGAACACTGGAAACGTGCTACCACTGGATAGCTGTTTCGCCCCCGATGACAGTCCTGTCAGGGATCGAACCCAGGACCTTCAGGTTCCGTGGCCAGTATGTTACCATTGAGCCACTGGGTCGTGAACTGACAGAAGTAGGAAATATGGACCGTTGGATTCCAACCTAGTGGCTAAATAGTAACGTGCTGGCCACGGAACCTTAAGGTCCTGGGTTCGACCCCTGGCAGGACAGTGTCACGGGTACACACTGCTGACAAGACAGCTATCCAGTGGTTGCAGGTTTCCATTTTTCCTCCAACTGGTGTCAGTCCATGATGAATTCCAACCTAAAACCAATTAATAAAGCTTCACAAAACCTCCAGATAGAATTGCGCGTAATTGTCTGCACCATGTTATTCTATCGACTGACTGCCAATGCTGACGCTCTATGTGATTAATCTCGCATGTGGTTGCCACTTCTCCTACGCTCACATCACCCACACAATGAATCACGTAATTTGGCAGTGACTTTGAAGGCCGCCTTAGCAAAGATTGAAATAACCAATCAGGTTTCAGCATTTTGTGTGGGAAGGTAGTTTTTCCAAGATAAAAATAGAATACTTCGTTATGCCACCAGTTGTCAGAGTGGCCCTTTCAACCTCATATACAACAGAACGCAAAGTCTTGTGCTTTTTGTTCGTATATTTAAGGTGATCTGAATCCAAGCAATTGAAGTTCATGTTCTCAACACCATCATATTTCAGAACAATGAGATAAAAAATCTCATACACACCAAGTGAGATAATACACGAGTATTGATTTCACCAAATAAGCAATTACTTCCGAAACATAAGACATACAGAAATGGATGAGGGGTCGAACGAAGCTCTTGAGGTGTGCTGCGCTATTATGCTAAAAAATAAGTCATTAATAAAATATCTTTTGAAATAAATAAGATTATAAGACCAATAATACTCATCTGAGATTCATTTTTTCCGTTATAGGGTCAATCCACAAACTACATAATAGAAGATTCGCAAGTTCTTATGATAGAAATGTTATCTCTCCAACATTGAGATCTGTTGTGTTAGATGATCTAAATGCTGTACACCTAAGAGCCCATGATATCTGATTGTCTGCAAAGCAGTCCGCTCTGTTCTACTGTATGGTTGTGAAACATGGCCATTGAAGGTGGAAGATATGAGAAGGCTGTCTTCAGGTGTTTGACCACCGTTGCCTTCGTAGTATAGGCCACATTCTATGGTGTCACCGCGTGAGTAACGCAGGAGTAGTTTGTGAAGAAAAGGTAAGTTAGTTGACGAGGTTGTGAAACTTCATCAACTGAGATGGCTGGCTGGGACATGTGTTACGTATGCCTAGTCGCCGTCTGACTCGTCACACAATGTTGGCCGAAGTAGGTTCAGACTAGGAAAAGACCAGACTAAAACATGGCATCAATGTATGAAGTCTTTGACTGTTAGTTTGAGCCATGTGGGGCGATGCAGACTAGCGGGTTGGAGTCCGTGGGACAAGAGGAATCAGTGGTTGAAGAATGACTCACATGGCTCAGAACCGATGTTAGTGGCACAGATGTACACACACACACACATACATTATCCCCATCTTAACGACGCTATACCAAATCTCACCATTTTATCATTCTTCTTTTCTCTCTTTTAGTACTTTATATTTCTCTTTCGACTGAATTTTCTTTTCTTCATCTTCCACTTCACTGACTTTCTACTTGATTTACTGATATGAGATGTAGCAACTAGCACTGTTACGCAGTAATCCCTGGTCCTCTGCTGATTTGGATGGATTGATGAACACCTAGGAGCCGAGAAAATGATATCACTCGCATGTTTAATGTGCTAGTGGTCAGAATCTGAAGTTGATATTATGAGAAGGTTAAAGAATTGTTCTGATTGTCAGCATAAAATATCGTATAGAGAATCATCTTGGAATTCATGGCCTGTATCTTGTGAGATATGCCAAGGCATTCATTCAGATTACCATGGTTTCTTCTTAAAATCATCCAATATTTTAGCTATGGTAGACTCTTATTCCAAATGGCTAGAAGTAATACTTACATAAACTCCTAATGTGAAAGTCACACACACAACAATGAGAAAGATTGTCAGCACTGAGGGAATATCTAATATCTTGGCTAATGATAATAGGACTTTTCTTACTGAGAACTTCAATGATTGGTTAAGAGATGTTGGTTATCTTCATTTGTACACAGCTCCACGTCATCCAGAGCCAAATGGGTTAGCAGACAACTTTGTGCGGATATTAAAGGGTAACAAAGTATCAGTGGATAGTATGTTGATAACCTCGTACTTCACTATAGGAATGTAGAACGTACACTTACTCATGAGTTCAGCTAAACTCTTCAAATCCCGAATTTTTCGAATACATTTTGATGACTATAACTTCGTCAGATGCACACTATTATCGGCGGGATGGTTATCAACAGTCAGTGGGAAATCCTATGACCAGGTGAAAATTAATCTAGTTGGTCAATCCAGTGGTAATTTTAATGAGTCCTAAATTAATTATAATTTGAGATATAGACAAGAAATGCCAGTAAAAATACGAATACAGAACAGGTAAGAAAATCTGCGAAACTTGAGAATACACCCAAAGTCCATTATGAACATGCAGAGAGACGTTCGATGTGGCATCATATAGTGAATACATCTACATCATTGTGACCGATTTTCAACCATTTTACCAAGAGTCATCAACCACTGACTCCTGTTATCTTGATGAACCTCAGTCAAGTTGTTTACACGTCCCACACGGCTTCGACCAACAGTCAGGGATTTCATGAACTGATGCCATATATTGGTCAGGTCACCCTGAGCATTCTTTCAACCTAACTAAACTTTCTCTAGCATCGTAGGTCAAGGTAGGCAGTGGCTTGGCACATGTTTAAGCCATACTAGTTGCTGAAGGTGCACAACCTCATCGGCTGACTTTTCGTCATTGCCAATTACCTTCCGCCTAACCTCAAAACTACCCACACGGTGATCCCACCAAACACCAAGACCTGTACCCTCTTGACATCTACATTTACCAGCTATGTCTCACAGCCGTATAGTAACAGGACATAATGAATTAGAGCGCAGCATACTCACTCCATGATAGATAGTTGGATATCCCAGCGGTTGGCAAATGCATCCGAGCTGAGGTTTCGTCAGCAACAAGTCTCTTCGGGCTGATGAGACTCCCCAAGTATGTGAAGTGGTCAACGCATTCCCTATCCTGAAATGAAGATAGTTTCAGATCGGTCCTGAAACATCATTTTACATCTGATGGGTGCAGGACGCACGTCAAATAAACTCAGTTGTCTGCTCAACGCTTTCAGAAGACCTTGGATGTTGTCAGCGTCTTCAACTAGCAGGACAATATCATCTGCGAACTCCAAGTCAACCATATGCTCTCTAAGAAGTGGATTAATCGTAAAGAAGTCAGATGCGCTTAACTGTCCATAATCCCTGAGACAGCTGCGTGAACTCAAATATAGAGGTTCAATCCGCATCATAAACTTGCTCGGTGCTCCTTTCATCATAACCAGACACTGCCACAACACCTCACGATCGAATACCGCCTTCAAGTCAACAAGTATGGCAAATACCAATCACCAGTAAGTATGCCTGTGTGTTCCAGAACTTGTCGAAAGATTACAATCTGATCGGTGCACTCTCACCTGGATCTGAAACCTATCTGGTTTTCTCCAACTCTCCTTAGATGTTGGATAATAAATAATAATTATTCTAGTTATGGTATGATATATAAATATTCACTTTTATTTGTTTGTATTTATCGTGTTCACTATCATACAAAGAATCCCGGTGAACATGAATCTTTGGTTTGTTTGTTTGATAGGTTAGTTCAATGAGTGACAATTTCCTTATACATCTCACTACAACACCACGTAACTCTGTGGTGTCACCACGTGAGTAATGCAGAAGTTAGGTATAAAGTTTTAGGGAGAAGAGGTAAATCAGTAAACGAGGTCATAGACCTTCATCGATTGAGATGGTTGGAACACGTACTATGTATGTCCAGTCACCGAAGTTCAGACTGAAAAAAAGGTCACAGACGGCCAGACCAAAACATGGCACCAATGTATCAAGTCTCTGACTGTTGGTTTGAGCGATGTAGACCAGGTGGTTGGGGTCCGCGGGACAGGAGGAACGAGTGGTTGGAGACTCTAGGGGATATGGCTCAGAACCGATGTCAGTGGCACAGATGTATACACACATTATCCTCATCTTAACGACACCATACCGAATCTCACCATTTTATCATTCCTCTTTTCTTCCTTCTCATACTTTATGTTTCTTTTGACTGCATTCTCTTATCTTCATCTTGCACCTCAACAACATCAATACTTATTCCTAAATAAACATTATAGAGACTGTATTCGATATTAGGATATAGAAACATAGGAGAAATTCATTATTATGTATATCATACAATGAACACTGAAGAGAAACTCAACTCTGAGCAATAATATGCTGATCCGAAAAATTCTAATGCTACTGTCATAATAATAATAATGATATTAGTAATATGAATGCCATTAGGAATGTGAAATAAAAGAAGGAAATCAACAGAATGTTGAAATGGTCAACACTTCACAATATTTAACTAGTTTAAACATGATGAACTAGATTAAATTAATCGACTTCATATCTGGAACATAACGATGAACATATAAACAAGCTAATAAACAAAATGATGAGTATATAAAGAAAAGAACTGATACACTTATCCATGATATAAATGGTTCAAATGAAATTGTTACAAAAAAACCAATTATCCAAGAAACAGCCAATGATGAAGTAACAGCATAATTTCTATTGATATTTGGAAATAATTCTAAGATGATTAGAAATGGTAATGGACCCCAACTACATGAGAAAGTGATAGCACAAATAGCTAGATAAACTTGATTCAATACAAACATTGATCCATCAGTATACTGAAAAACAAAAAAACAAAAAAAGTTGGAAATGTAATTTTTTAAAAATGATTATACAGTGTATTCAGTTAAACAATTAAGAGGAAGTGAGAGTTACATAGGTGAATCGGTTCAAGTTGCCATACTTCACAATAGTATACAAACAATAGGTGGCATTCAAGGTGAACAAAGTTGTGTGTGATTCTTTTCGTCATGGTGAACTGAACCGTGTAGTCTAAATCTCTTATTACTCGACTCAGAGACTAACAGTTAAAGACTTCACTAACTGATGACAAATCTTGGTTTAGCCACCGTGAACCCTCTTCTAACCTAATCCAACTTCTTCTAGCATGGTACGTCGAAGTAGGCGGTGGGTTGGCATGCTTAGTATATATCTGAGCCATATCAGTTGACTAAGATTCACAACCTCATCAATCGACTCGCTTGTCATAGGCTAGTACTCTTCGGGGTGATTTAACCAAACGCCAACAATGCTAAGAAAATGTCTGTAATTAAAACACTGAAATCATTTCATGTCTTCTAATTTCAACGCTCATGTCTCACAGCCAGCCGTACAACAGGATAGAACCAACTGCAGCACAGTATAACTCGTCCATTGATAGATAGTTGGATGTCTCACTGGAGCCACACACACAGCTACTGCATTGTAATAATACTCATAAATCATATTGTCTTCAAGGACACTTAGTGAAGCTGTGGGGTTCAGTGGTTTAGGAAAATGATTTTTAGTCAAGGTTCGAACACCCTTCCATCTACCGAAATGATCTGATCTGAGCAGCAAGGTAGCAGTAGCTCATTGCCTACTGCACAAATGTGCACACAATTGCTGAATATATTTCGATTTCAACAACTTTCATGGGCACCTACAGCAAAAGTTGGGAAATCAACTCAATTCAACTGAATTATGAGTCCATTATGTTTCTAGTCTTGTTGTGATGTCCATCGGAAAAAAAAACTATGATTAAAATGTCATATTTATCTACACCTTCCATAGATTTTCCTCTAAAAACTGAAAGCTTTAATTGCAAAATAAACTTCACCCAAAAAGGATAATTGCCTCTAGTGTTAATGATTGTGCATTTAGTATTCATTAGATATTTCTTTTTGAGCGGAGGGAGCCAGAAAATTTTACAGGTACGAGTGATAGATGTTTCATTCCTCTCTTTGGATGTGTGGCTTATTGATAGAGACAGTCGACTTTCAACCAATGGGTTACAAGATCAAACCCCGTCCCATTTCAGAAAATCGAAATACATTTATAGTGGACATTGCTGAGAGAGCAACAGAAATTACAGGAAATTACGAGTAATGGGTAGGGATTACGCCCAGAGAAACACAAGAGACGACGCGGGCATGGTAAGAGCAAATCAAGACAGAAGCAGAAGAGGAAATGAAGCACATTATGCAAATTGACTGTCTTAGTGCAAGGTGTACCGTATTTAACGACTACTGTGTCACTTGTTAACAATAAACATTCCTTCCTTCGTCTCCGTCTTCTCATTTCCTTTTCACTAGTGTGCTCTGTTTAGGCTCCAGTCTGATTTAACATTTCAGTAGCTCAAATGATACCATTAGGAATATAAACGAGACTATTTATGGTATATGTTTAGTAGTTAAATCCATTTATTTTCGTTAAGTAAGGCAGAAAGTTACACTTCAAACCAATAGAAACAACTTTGGTTGTCTGGATACTAACTACTATCATACGTAATAGAAAGCGTCTCTATCTTCATGAATTGCAGTAATGCAGTAATAATTTGTTTAGCACAATGCAATGAATTCATACCATTTCATTTCAACAGACTAAAACAATATAGGGTATAAACAGACAAATATGATGTACATATCTTAATGGTTGATAAGAAGATAGTCACTTCATGACAAAAAGGTACCGATTAAAACAGACAGGTTAAATGGGATCCAATGGCTTATAAAGTTCCACTGTCAATCATATGATGGATATGACATTCAGATGTTGTGTATTTAAAAATAATCATGAAAGACAGAACCATAACGATTTACTCACATTCATCATCATCTATCAGCATAGAACCAGGCATTACTGCGTAACGGTCCGAGTTGTCAAGGCTTATGTCAATTCAACACGTCAGTACACTGATAACTGCTACCTTGACGTGGTGGTCGGGCTTGCATATCACAATGACCTAACGAGCTTCCCTAGAGGTCCTACCATATCACAGAAAGGTCTCTTGGATGGTGCCTTCACGAAAACCAGTTACCGTTGTGGTGTAAATTACTACACTATGATGGGGGTCTGTCTGAGGGCGAAATCGTACTGCTACTGGCTGCATGGGGTGTGACAGCAGTAAGGTGTTTCCCTTGGATGGCCAATACTCCCATGCTGATGCTGCCTTATCACTCAAACGGGGAGGGGTGTTAGAAACCGTCGACCCCCAAAATAACACACTCCGCCATATCCCACAGTCTCCCGGGTCGGCAGTGTTGCTTCATTTGTTGTTTCTTTTCGACCATCCAGTCCCAAAACAACAAAAGTTCAAAGCAACCATACACAAAAGGCTGAGTGTGACAGGCCTCAAACAGATGTTTGATGGGCTCTGCGGTCACACAAATCTCTTCCAGATACCTTCCACGGTGTGGGCAGCTGGGAAGTGTCAACTGCTCTCACAACTCTGTCAGCACTCAAGATTCCTCAGACTGCTATCCACCTTCTCCATCATTACTCATATTCGTTGAAACACTTACTATTAGATGAACAAGACAGAGCTTTTGTATTCAAAAAGAAACATTTTTTTTAGCCTTACATTTTTATGGTAGCCACTGACTTGAATACCTAGTTAGTCCTTTCGTTTAATTTCTCGGGGGGTTTATGTTTCATTGGTCTTGGCATTGGGATTCCAATGAATGGGTTCGAACCCTACCTCATCTACGGAGGTGGGTTTCGGCAATCAGTTAATACTATTAGCCTTTACACAATACATGCAGCTCCTTGTCTACTACACAATGTTGTTGAGTATATTCCCATTTTCATCTTTTTCGATAGCTGATAAATAATTGATTCTAATTTCATTACCACCGTTTTACTGTTTGATCAAAAAGGATTTAACCTTAACCCTTTTCAACGTCAACATTGTATTCACGTTATTCATTATGAATTAACATTAGTTGGGGAACCATTGGAAATCCTGGAGCACTAGTATGGGACTCCTCAGCAGTGCAGACCCGTGCCCCACCCATCATGGATAAAATCAGAGACCTTCAGGTTCCGCAGCTAGCATGTTACTGTTGAGCCACCGGGTCGGTAAGCGATGGGTCCCATTTCCTACTTTTGTCAGTTGATGATCTTCATCCAATGAAATATGGACTGTGGGTGATTTCAACCCAGTGGATCAATGATAACGTGATAGTAGCAGAACCTGAAAGTTTTGCGCCCCATCCATGACTAAAGAATCCTATACTTGGAAGAAACAACTGTTCAGTGCTTATGGGTTTCCAATGGTTATTTCCAACTACTGACGTCAGTGCATGATGAATATCAGCCTCTATTGGTATATGGGGTCCTATGCAGATGCCTCGATTTTGCTTGGATGTTAATTATTATAATTTAGTTGGTTGTGGCTAGCAGAAGAAACCAGGACGCGTGTTTCGTCCCACTTGGGACTCGCCAGCTGGAAATACCTGTACCCCAGTGATGTTGTTCCCACTGAGACTCGAACCTCGTACACATCACTTCAAACGCCGAGGCGTTATCCACTATGCCGCGGGGGAACGATAGCCACCTCTTGTACAACGGGTAGTAGTTGTTACTATTTGTTGACATACTTGTTACCCTCTGTTGCCTCTCCGTGGCATAGTGGATAACGCCTAGTCGTTTGAAGCGATGGGTACGAGGTTCGAGTTTCAGTGGGAACAATATCACTGGGGTGCAGGTACATCCAGCTGACGAATCCCAAATAGGACGAAACGTGCATCCTGGATTCTTCTGCTAGCCACAACCAACCAGATAATAAAAATAACTATTATTGCTATTATTATCTCCACAAAAGTAATCAAAGTATTACTATACACAAAAACAACTCACCAATAATGTCAGTGAAAAAGAAAAATGTGATAAAGCCATTATTAAAGCGCCTATTTGTAGTAATTTCCTCCAACAGACTCTCTTGATTACCAATACAGAGATAATACTGGAAACAAACAGATATAATCCAGTATAAAAAGCACACATATATGATAATAATCCACCGAAGAGGCAAACAGATTCAGCGAAATATATAATAACAGTTATCCCAGTCAGCTGTTGAAATGTCACCAGAAGAAAAGCCATACGTAGTCGAGATCTTTGATTATTCATGACATAAGATAAAGGTGAAGTCCACGATTTTGTATAACAATCTGATGAATTCTGAGGATCGTTTAGACTATTCACAGTACCATTTTCCTCTTGTTTGAAAGGTAATTCCTGAATTGATAAAAAAGCAAGTGTATAACTGTATTATTAGATTAAATATACCCATAAATCATAGAATGAATAGTTCAACAAAGGGAATCCATGTCATTGATTCCTTTTAATAGGTTGTACACACACACACACACACACACAGTGAGTATCTAGTGAATATTTAATTTAACCCGGTGGTCGCTGGTTCGAATCCGACCGCGGTCCAGATTTTCATCTCATCTTCAATCATCACCCAGTACAAATACTAGTCTGCCAAACTACGGCTATCTACCGAAACTGCACAAAAACGGTCTGCCTCTACGACCAGTTCTTGACATGACTAACTCACCGTATCATACAAAAGCAAAGTGGTTAGTACAACTTTTGAAGCCTCTCCACAAAGAAGTTGTGAAGTACAGTCTCAAAGATACCTTTGAATTTGTCAGAAAGATCGAGGATCTGGAAGTAGATAATAAGTTAATGATTTCATATGACGTTTCATCTTTTTTTACTAACGTTCCTTTAATGGAGACAGTAGACTTTATTTGCAACAAACTTACGAAGCACGGCATGGAAATAGGCATTCCAGTCTCCATATTGAAAGAACTACTTCTGAGGTGTACGATGAATGCACAATTTCTTTTCAACAATGAAACCTACTGGCAATCTGATGGTGTTGCTATGGAGTCACCCCTTGGCCCACTCTTAGCAGATTTTCTTCTGGCAAAACTTGAGAATGGTCCACTGAACGATACTATTAGCCATTAAGAGTTATATCGTGGTTACATGGATGATACCCTTGTAGTTCTCAAAAGTGAGACTGATAAGATTGCTGTTCTGAATAAGTTCAATAATGTTCACGCGGCAATCAACTTCACAATGAGAGAGGAGAAAAATGACAGTATTCCATTTCTTGATGTTCTGTTGGTAAGAAGGTTAGATGAAACCCTGAAGCGAAGTGTTTATAGAAAGCCAACATCAACAGGTCAATCAATATACGCACTTCTTTAGTGTTGTATCCCTCCAATACAAAAGGAACCTAGTGTAATGCTTAGCATACCGTGCCTCAGCTATTTACTCAGAGGATGCTATAAAGGAAGAGTGCGCCATCATCCGTGACCTGCTTAGTAGGAATGGCTACCCAGACAAGTTTGTAACTAAGCACATGAATATTACGAGGGTTAAGACAACAACGCCAACAGTTTCTAAGAAGCAAATCTTCTTGAAGCTGGAATTTAAGAGTGATATTGCCAATGAGATCATCACACAACGCATAAAAAGTCTTGCATAAATCCTTCCCAGTCGCTAAATTATTTCGCGCCTTCTACAACTGCCCGATTTTAGGTGCAAGAAATAAAGACAAACTGCCTGATTCTGCCACTTCTCTGTGCATTTATCAATTCAACTGCTCCCGTGGAGCTAGTTACATTGGGCGTGCAATGAGACAGTTCCATCGTCGAATTTCTGAGCACCACCCATCATGGTTGAATAAAGGACAAATTAGAACTATAAAGAGCTCCATACTTGCACATTTAGTTGACACAGGACATCAAGTGGTTACTGGAAAAGCCTTCAATATCATCCATCAGATTCCAACTAATTAACCTCATGGATTAGGCACTCGGTTACTTCACATAGCAGAGGTGATTGCAATCCACCTTCACAAACTTAGTCTATGTATCCAAAAGGTTTGTTCGACCACTTTCATCACCGTGACCATCAACATGATGTAACTTCTAGGTTTATTTTGTACACCTCCTCCTCTTCTTGTTTCTATCAATATTCATATTTCCAATTTTAGTAACTCTATTGATTATTTACATCGTTATTTCCGAAACACCACCATGTGATGGGTAATTTGATTAAATTTAAACCCTCTATATATTAGTGTAGAACCCAAGATGAAGACCTAATTGAAAAGGAATATGCATTTCTTCGCTTAATTAGTCTTTTTTCTAAATCATAATTTGATGAAAAATTTGATACTTATAAGCGATTCAAGAGTTCATGATAATGAATCGATGAAATTGATCTCCCTTTAGTTAATTCAGGTGTTCTTCTTAATACTAGTAAATATACTATACACTCAACTGAAATATCATACCATAGAAGACAGATTATACAGTTTCTATGTTTACACAACTAATGCAATAGACCCTATCTCATGCCTAACTATCTTCAAGTATGTAGTACACTTCAAAACACTTCTAGTTTCATGTATGTCAGATGTAAGATGCTTTTTCAGGACTGGTCTGTAATTACTCCCAGTTTAAAGATAAAGAGTGAAGTAGTTGAAAGTACTCATCAAATCATTTACTTGGGGAGTTGGATCGGCCCGAAATCTCAGCTCGGATACAAGAGACCTATTCTACATTTCCTAACAGTCGGCTAAAACGTTCAGCAGAAAACTTTGAAGCACAGTTCAACAGACCTATAGCAATGCCTCAGTGCTCAGTATCCAGTCCAAACTTGAATACAACGTAGGTGCCAATTCTTCAACTATTCTGCAAGTTAAGAAGGCTATTTTTAACCTGAAATGATCCAAAGCGGCTGAATGTGACAGTTTGCCACCCAAATTTTCAAGGATACAGGTAGTGTATGGAAATCAGAAGTAGTGTCATCAGACTGATCGGTTTCACTGATCATCCGAGTCCATAAGAAGGGACAGAAGTCTTCCTGAGAAAACCAAAGTATAATTAGTTTGACTAATATTGTTCAACATCCTGGTGTCTGTAGTTTTCCGACGCCTAACTGGAGCTCGAGAACAACCGATTCAAGAAAAACAAGTAGGTTTCAGACATCGTAGAGGGTGGGTTAACCATATATTCATCCTTCGACAGGTTCTGGGACACAGGCATACTTACTGGCCAAGTTTGTTGACTCTGTCGACTATGAGATGTTGCGGCAGTGTCTGACTGTGAAGTGAGTATCGAGCAAATATATAGTGCTTATCGAAGGTCTCTACTCGAAACCACCCAGCCATGTAAGAGTTTATGAACTCATCGACTCCCCGGAGGTTATCTGGTCGAATAGGAGTATGTAGGTGATATTGTCGTCCTAGATAAAGACGCTGACAAAATGCAGGGTCTTCTGAATGCATTGAGTAGATATCTGAGTATGTTTGGCGTGCGTCTCACTGGTACCTGTCAAATGTAAGATGATGCTTCAGGTGTGTTCCGCAAATATTCCGAGTTTAAGAATAGGCTATGAAGTAGTGTAATGAGTTGACCACTTAACTTACTTGGGGAGTTGCAGCAGCTCGAATAGGCTGGTTACTGATGAAATCTCAGCTCGGATGCACAAGACTCGGTTGGCATTTGCCGACTTGCATCATGTGTGGCGCCAACTGCCGAGATATCCAAATACCTATCAAAGGATGAGTATACTACTTTGCAGTCCGTTCTGTCCTGTTATACAGCTTGAGGTATGGATTTAGAAAGTAGATGCGAAGAGACTACATGTTTCTGAACATGTGTCTCTGTCGCATTGCTTACGTATGGTGGGACAACCGTGTGAGCACTGTAGAGGTTAGACGAAACGTACTAGGATATGACGGAAAGTCACTCAATGAAATTGTGAATCTTTACCAACTAATATGGCTTTGCCATGCACTAACCATGCCGAGCCACCACTTATTTAAACGTGCAATGCTAGGGGAATCCCAATTAGGTTGAAAGGACGGCTTGAGTGGCTAGATCAAGAAATAGTGCAAGTTCACGAAGTCTCTGACTTTTGATCTGAACCTGGCTGGGGGTTAACTGAGACGATAGGAGTCAATGATTAAGGACTCTTGGTGAAATGACGCAGATGTATTCACTCTTCTCTTTGACGTCTTCTAAAGCTTGAATATTTAGAACAACCGTAATTCTATACTCATCATCCTCCTACACACGTTGTTCTTTGCATACTGCTATGAAGCGTGTAAACTTGAACCAATGCATGTCTATGCGAGATTCTACGATGATTTTCTTCCCTGTCTGTATAAATGTAGTTTTTGTTTGCATTATCTATTTATCAACTGCTAACTCACTGTTAGTCACTTTGTCGAATGCTTTTCTAGGTTTTCATAAACTAACCGAACCTACTACCGTTTTACAACCCCTTATTTTATGCTTTTGTCTGCTTTGGTATAATTGCTTGTACTATACCGTCGTTGATTGGACTGAATTGATCGGTCGCTATCAGCATATGGGTACTGTGGGGATGTCTCGCTAATACCTGTGTTGTAATTATAGTGGCTAGCAATGGAATGCAGAATGGGCATTTTATCCTATTTGGGACTCGTCAGCTAAATGTACCTGCCTCTCAGTGAGTGTTGTTCCCACGTGGGCTCAGACTCGGGAGCGATAGCTTCAAACGCCAGAGCGTTACCCACCACACCGCAGAGCCACGATAGTCACTCCTTGTGAGATGGGTATAGTTTTAGTATAATTGTTTTTATATTATATCCACCATTACTATAATTAGGACACAGGCAATATCGAGGCATCCGCACAGGAGCCCATATGCCGATAGAGACTGATCAATTCGGTCCAATCAACGACGGTATAATATAAGCAATAACACTAAAACTATACCCGTCACATAAGAAGTGGCTATTGTAGCTTAGCGGTGTAGTGGATAACGCTCTCGCATTTGAAGGGATCGCTCCCGAGTCTGAGCCCACGTGGGAACAACATCACTCACTGAGAGGCTGGTACATTCAGCTGATGAGTCCCAAATAGGACAAAATGGGCACCCTGGATTTCGCACATCTAAAGTATGTCGTGTCATTACTACCAGTAATAATTCGTTTTGGTTGCAGGCCGTTTTTCAGCGGATGAAAGGCCATGAAACAAAACGACCTCATTTTATCCTGTAAATGTCTCTTCTCGAGGTTTGTATTTTTTAGTGTGTAGAGAAAAACAAATATTCTTGTTAACAATAAGCAAAACAAACGTCAATAATTATGGATACCATTTAGGGGTAATGAATGAATTCTCTCAAAACATGACATAAGAATTTGGTTTGCATCTTTACTTTCATTGTCACCATCATCATCATCAAAACTTAATCTCCTAGCAGCTAGTTCCAATGATCTTGGGTATGATTGGTAGTTCACACTGTATGGATTGTCCGTACATGCATTTTGATCGGTTGCCCTGTCGATCTAATCCTCTTTGTGTTTCTCATTAGTCGATAAATTGAGCGTACTGCTGAGGAGTCCCATACTAGGACGAAACAGCTATCCAGTGCTCCCAGATTTTCAATGGTTTCCCTCAACTTATGTCAGTCCATGATGATGAATACTACTTCTAAATATGAATCAATCAGTAGGATAGCTGGTCGAAACAACGGTGTAGACAATGATGACATAACAGTCGCATTTGGTGTCATCAAGACAAGCTATGCAGTCTATTTATGCAGAAACTTTCATAGCTTACATCTTTCGAAGGTGTGCATGTGTGTGTTGATGATGTAGTCTGCAATGATAATGAAAGTCTCACGACTAAACCCATCACCTTAGACATGACTACACCACAAAATCATCCTTGTGAGTTAGTAACTTGAAAACGTTTCAGGAAACCGTATCCCTTCCTTACCTTGATCTTATTAATACTTCCTATTTAGTCATATTCCACTTTCATCAATTACTTCACACTTTTTGCAGCAAGTGATTTACTTTTCAATATCTTCTTTATATATATATATATATATATATATATATATATATATATAAGCTTTGAATTCCACCCTTAACGGTAGCTCAGCTCCTCAGTAAGTAGAAAAAAGCAGTAAGATAACAGGTGTATTGCAACCTTGAAATATGTTCAAAGTTCAACGGTTTATATATAATTACAACGGCCTTTATTATTGCTAGGGTTTTCTAACAGGGAATATCTCATTGATTTTAACTCTTCAATCAGTCTGTACATCCTCTTGAAGCAACACGATTGGTTGAGAAAAGGTTACAAGATTTAGAGCTTCTTATGAGAATGTGGACCAACTTTTTAGCCTACCATAACAGTTTTCATCTTTCGACACCAATTTTGTACTACTTAACCATTTTCCAACCTCTACCGTATATATTTATTACCGAGCACTTTTTAGTACAACCGACGTTTTTATCAAATATAGTCTTTAGCTGAAAAATCCTTGTTCTTTTTATTTGTTAGTGAAGCCGTATATCTTGCATATAATTATGTCGAACTTGATGAGATTACTTTCCATCCTCACGGTAAACTACTCATGTATATGATTGATCTATTCCGAACAATCATCAATTGAATAGAGTAGACTAGCCGGTTGGGGTCCGCGGGACAAGAGGAATCAGTGGCTAGAGACTCTAGATGACCATATAGCTCAGAACCGATGTCACTAGCACTATACCAAATCTCACCATTTTATCATTCTTCTTTTCTCTCTTTTAGTACTTTATATTTCTCTTTCGACTGAATTTTCTTTTCTTCATCTTTCACTTCACTGAGTTTTTACTTGATGTACTGATATGAGGTGTGGCAACTCACACCGTTACCGTAGTAATCCCTGGGTCCAGAGTTGATTTGGATGGATGAAGTGTAGACAAAATGTATAAAATAATGAAAAGTATTTCAGTGCATAAAGATATAATAAAGATAGTACTGAATGCATATTAATTAGAATGAATTATCTGGAAAAGTATTTAACACAGTTTACCTATATATATATATATATATATATATATATATATATATATATATATATATATATATATATATATATATATATATATATTATATATTATAAAAAGTAGATAGTCACTCACATTTTCATACAATGAAGAATGAGATGTTTCAGATGATTGTAGATTACCATTTGCAATACAGTATTTAGGTGATTCACGTAACATACAGGTTGAAATCATGGTGAACAATACAAATAAAGCACAGATTAAAGAGATAACATCCCAATTTAAATAGACTGCAAGTGCATAGACAACAACAATACCACAGGTTACACCAATCTGTAATAATGATACAACTGAAACTTTCAATGAGCATGGAATTATTTCATATGCATAGATTGAATTAGTCACCAGTGTTAATCCACATCCTAAACCTGTTAATAAACGTCCTGATATAAATGGTATAGTTGGTGCATATCGTTCATAAACAGTTGATGAAGATAAATATAATGTAATCCAACCAAGAATAGATAAATGATAAGAAAATAATAGAATACGATGATATCCATAATGATGAATTAACCATTGTGAAGAAATACAACTAATTAATGCACCAATATTTAGACAACTACTAAAAATTGCTGCCCAAATTGTATTAAAATAAATTTGAAGTGTTGTTGCAGATGAAAATCCCAAAGCTAAACCTTAATTTAAAACAAAAACAAAAAAAACAATTAAGATAATGAATTAAATTTACATTAAAGCAAAATTAATTGCAATACAGGTTTATATTGGCTAAGCTGTATGGGTTTCTGATGATATTTAATTGTTCAGATCAGAGTAGATAAAGTGGAACTCAAAGTATATAGGACCTAATGGTTGATAGGTGGGTACTTATGATGGTCTTGTATTGCGTTCTCTCAGCTGGGTTGTTTAAATCATGAAGCTTTCATCGTCTTTCTAGACGACATCATCAACACTAACTTCAGTATCAAGTTACCTGTCAATATCTCTCTATGAGTGATTTAGTGACTTGCCCTAACAAACTGGTTTCTGATTGGTTGTTTCCTTTGACTGTTACGTCATTGATGTATAGATTTTCTTGTTAGGTGTTCCTCTGTTTGATCTCTGACCTTTCTGTCGTTTATCATTTTCCTCATTGATTAATAGATATTGGGTCTATGTCTATACATCTGTTGATTGCTGTCTGACTGATTTGAATAGCAAACTTCTAGGAATTCCCTGACATTTTTGTGTTTCCTCTGTACAAGATTTCTTTATTGTCAAAATTGAATTCATTCCAAAACTACACTGGACAAAGTGGTCACCTTCTTTGCCTTCGTCTACATGAACACCAATTGGCTGTTAAACGTCACGATATTTCATTGCTCAATGCACATGGATAATTATGGTAATGAATTAAATTTCCACAGTGTAGACATGTTGGATGGAGAGAGGAAACATATATCAGAGAATTCCTAGAAGCTTGCCATTCAGACTAGTCAGTCAGCAGTCAATAAACAATAGACCCAATATCTATCAATCAATGAGGAAAATGATAAACGACAGAAAGGTCAGAGGTCAAGCAGAAGGACAGCCAACAGGAAAATCTATACAGTCAATTACGGAGAGATATTGACAGGTTACTTCATACTGAAGTTAGTGTTGATGATGTCGTCTAGAAAAACGATGAAAGCTTCATGATTTAACAACTCAGAGAACACAATGGAGTCAACAGATGGTTGATTAATCTGAATTAAAACTAAAATTAAATCTACACACCTAATAAGTGATATTATAATATGTAATGTACACTAGAAGTAAGTTAAAAATAAAACATGTCTGAATTGCTTTAATCAGCAGCATAGGTATGAAAATTCAACTAGAGAATATACACTTTTCAGTAGATAATTCGAATTCAAAATCATAACTCCTACATGTAGAAGTGTAAATATTCAATATGAATCATTCTCCGAGCTGTGATTTCAATCGACAGACGTTTCAACGTCATGCTAGACATCGTTATCATTCTAGGCATAGCTTATAGTTGAGAAGCTCTGGATGCCTCGTCTGTGTTCAATTTCAGAATGCAATGTAATATACATTCCATTACTGAACTACTGTTTCACTAACCGATTTTGTTACTCTTGATCTGTAAAGATCTGTGTGAAATATCTGGTTCACTGTAGACTTATACAGTGACAGACGAAGAGTATTTATCGTTTAATTATGCTGGAAATCTGTTAGCTGAAGCTTTGCTAACCAGAACATACAGAGAATGACAAAAAGAGATGAATAAATGAGTGAATCGATGGATAACACAGAACAAATCAACTTGGAAATTACGCATCGTTAACTAAAGGGTACGACCGACACCTACTGTCTTAACTTGGCGGCTACGTTTGCATATGACAATGACCGAATGAGCTGTGCTAGTGAAACACTTGTTCCTACCATATCAGAAAGACCTGTAGCATAGTGCTAAGATCGAAAGCAGTATAGATTACTATAATATGATGGAGGTCCAAGGGCGGAATCGTACTGCTGACTGGATGGAGAGGTATGGGTGACAGCAGTTAGGTGTTCCCGTAGGTGACCAGCAGTCCCACACTGCTGCGTTTCCTATGGGAAGCGGGAGATTACAAAACGTCAGCCCTGAAAATAGCACACAACATCTACTCTGCGTCATACCGATACTGGTGACATGAGTGAATAGTTGGACTCGATAGAAGCAAGCTAAAACCTCAAACTTCTGAAAAGGACGAGTGTGATTGGCCTCAAGTAGTTGTCACGCGATCAAGCACTAAACCGTTCTTTTCAAAAAAAAATAGCCTTCCATGGTATGCAGGAAGTGTCAATCCCCCACACACGCAAAACCCAAATGACCGTAATTTACTCTCCTTATCTCTGTTTCCTCCCTTCACTTCACTTCCTGATACCAATATCATACCTCTTACAACAACTTTAAGAACCTCTCACTCTACGACTATTGCTAAAGATTCAAGCCAGTGAAACACCATTCCTAGTGTCCTAAAACCCACTATCAATTCCACACTGGACCTTTCAATGTCAAATCAGATAGCAGGTACCATTCGCCATAACTCTAGAACTTTTAGACATGGATGTGTACTGCGTTTGTCAGACACGTATACTAAGCCCGAGTGTGGTTATTCCCTTGACCTCACCTGGCTAATGTTATGAATCTTCAAAACTCACCTGACAAGTGTTCGCAGATTCAAGGGTTAGCTATCGTGAACTCGCTGGTGTAGACATGGAATAAATTTGTAGAGCAGAAAGCATGCTTCTCAAATGGATACCAGTCAACAGCAATCATCTGCATCCAGTACGACTGAATGGATCTGTAAGAAATAGGAAGCATCGTGAGACCACCACCTGGTGCCTATTCATAATCTCTTCCCATGAAACCCCCAAGTACAGTTTGGATGATGCAAAAGATGGATTTATCGAAAGCTGTTTGAGCAGATCCCGCACTTCAAACTACGTATTGGAGCCTTCTATGTCCGAATCCTGCGTCAAATCATCTATCGAGAGTTGCTCGCCAAAACTTCGGTATTTCGGGCTATGGACATGTGCTGTGTTTGTAAGGTACGCCAAAAAGGCTCATGTGAGCTAGTTCACTCAACTTCATCGGACCAAAATGGTGAATTTGAGAAATTCATTCTTCGTGTTTATGGAGGTTCAATGGTTAGCTCTCATGGTCTCACAAGCAAACATTTGGCATTGACTAGTGATGATTCAGAAAGCATACTGCTCGACAGGATGTCAGGTGACGGTTATATGTGCGTTAAGCAGCATAGAGTACTGAAAAGAATAATAAAAATCGTTGATACATCCATAGATCATTCCAGTCGTCATATAGAATTTGAGTACTTTATCATTCCACCATGTTCTCTTTTGACGACTTTCTATAGCTGCTGACCGCTTCCTTGTTTATCTTTCATCTTGGAGCATTCTTTATTGAGGTGCTGATATGGGTCCTGGCAACTTGAATCACTACGCAATAATGTCGGGTCTTATTTCGATACTGCCTGTCTGATTACAGGGAGTAATACGTAAAAGGAGCCTTAGGATAACCTGAACAAAACTATCCAATAGCCAAGTCCAGCTATTAAGAATGGAAAGAAATATTAAGTGAGGTCTGTCACGGCAAGAAGGCAGTTTTAGCAAAATTTAGGTTACGACTGATGAACAAAAAACTTAGTTCAGATTATCACTGATGTTTATAAAATCAGTTTTTAAAAAAAAATAATAATCCCAATCAAAAATGCAAATCTGTTTCTTACCAGTAGTGAATGCACCCAAAAAACATACGAATAATACAAAATGTAGTCGACTAAGAGCCATTTAGATACACCACCAGATTGAAACCAGATGTAAAAGCGATGAAGGTTCAGTTAACGGATAGATCAGCCTACAAAAGAAAGCGAAAGGCAATTGACGTATATGGAGTTACGGGAGCGACTGAAATTATATACAGACATAAATACATGAATCTGGAATGAGCTTGTATTAAAAATTGGATAATAGAAAGTCTCTTTCACTTTTAATATAGATAAAGAGAACTGTTTAAGATTCAAAGACAACCTTGGTAATATGGTAAGATAAGCATTACCAGGATAGGTTTAGCGTAAGGACAAACTGTTTCTAGACACACAATGAGGGCTTAAATTTGTGTATGGCTACAGGTACTACGTATGCCTGGTCACCGATTGCCTCGTCACACAATGTTGGCCGAAGTAGGCCCAGGCTGGAAAAAGGCCCGAGGTGGCCAGACTAAAACATGGCACCAATGTATGAAGTCTCTGACTGTTGGTTTGAGCCATGTGGGGTGGCGATGGAAACTTGGTGGTTGGGGTCCACGGGACAAGAGGAACCAGTGGTTGGAGACCCTAGGTGATATGGCTCAGAACCGATGTCAGTGGCACAGATGTATACACACATTATCCTCATCTTAACAACGCTATACCGAATCTCACCATTTTGTCACTCCTCTATCCTTTCTTCTCGTACTTTATATTTCTTTTGACTGCATTCACTTATCTTCATCCTTCACCTCACTACCTTTTTACTTGATGAACTGACGTGAGGTGTGGCAACTCGGACCGTTACGCAGTAATGCCTGGTCCTATGTTGATAATAATGATGATGATGTATGCCTACAGCTTCAATAAATCTGAGTCTCTGACAGTCTCTATACAAAATTGTAAAGGCTGTTTCAATATCAATTCTAACCTTTATCAATAATTAGTTTTGCAATAGATGATGATGGTTGTTAGCCACATGCACTTATCAGTGTTTGTCAATCCAGCCGCTTTTTTTTAGCCATTTTGATACATGTGCAATTGTATAAAACAGAAACTCAAGTTTACAACATCAATAGTTCTGACTAACTAATTAGTACTAGAAGCTATATAATTAGTCAAAGAGATTCAGTATTCCGTATTTATGGATGAAAGAACAAGTAGAAAAATATACTACATTGAGGTAACAACCTAGGGTTCTAACGTTTTCAGTTAGTATGTTTTATGCATCTACAACAACCAGACAGTATTGATTGACTATTCCACCCAATAGTAGGGTTAGTCGTTGATGGTTGGTGAACGAATAGATTTTTTCATTGATTACAAATTGGTTAAGCCTTACATAACTTCAGGCTTTTGAGTTTTAAATCTATTGCAACCAATATATCAAGGTAAATGACGAAGTTGAAATCAGTGAAATAGATATGGATCCTCTACCTCTTTAGGACGAACAGAAGATCAGAAATAACCTTAGATTAGGAAGGGAATTAGGTCTTAATGGAAAACCATCAAAAAATGATGATATCCCAGGATTATCATTTCAGATGACTAGAGTATTGCATAAAGTGAGAGTTCAACATAATCCCTTTAAACCATTTTTATTGTGTATACTCTAACTCGGAGGAATTTTCTTATAGTATCCGTAAAAGTAGTCTACCGAACAGTCTGAGGCTCTAAAATTATCCAACATATAACTGAAGCTAGGGATCAGCAAACCCGATAAAATATGATCTTGTTAAGAACTTTTCATGGATGAATCAACTAGATTTTCTTCTACACAAGAACGATGACTGTTTCACGAGTTGGCCCAGGCTGGAAACAAAATATAGTCCACATAAAGCTACGGAATACAAATTCCACTGGTCAGTGACCTTTCGGATAAACAAACATAGAGACAGACAAATCAACCTGGGAGAGTATACAGAAGTGCATCACTACAAGTTGGTACAATTTAACCACATGCCCAGAAGTATGCAGAAAAAGAGATTAGGGTAAGCAGAAACGCCTATGGAGAAAGAGATCTCCATCTCGAAACAGATTGATGTACGCATCTAGGAATGCACCTAGATATCAAGTCAAGCTAAATTCAAGGTTAGCCACCCAATGTCTTGACCGATAGCTGCTATCTTGACGTGGTGGTCGGGCTTGCATATCACAATGACCCAACGAGCTTCCCTAGAGATCCTACCATATCACAGAAAGGTCTCTTGGATGGTGCTTTCACGAAAACCAGTCACCGTTGTGGTGTAAATTACTACACTATGATGGGGGTCTGTCTGAGGGCGAAATCGTACTGCTACTGGCTGCATGGGATGTGACAGCAGTAAGGTGTTTCCCTTGGATGGCCAATATTCCCATGCTGATGCTGCCTTATCACTCAAACGGGGAGGGGTGTTAGAAACCGTCGACCCCCAAAATAACACACTCTGCCATATCCCACAGTCTCCCGGGTCGGCAGTGTTGCTTCATTTGTTGTTTCTTTTCGACCATCCAGTCCCAAAACAACAAAAGTTCAAAGCAACCATACACAAAAGGCTGAGTGTGACAGACCTCAAACAGATGTTTGATGGGCTCTGCGGTCACACAAATCTCTTCCAGATACCTTCCACGGTGTGGGCAGCTGGGAAGTGTCAACCGCCCTCACAACATTGTCAGCACTCAAGATTCTTCTGACTGCTATCCACCTCCTCCATCATTACCATCTAGTCCTCCTTCACGTCTCTGAATTAACGATACTATATCATCTTCAATTTCTCCTAGCTCTGTAGCCTTCGACAACGATCTGAGTTCATAGAACAGCATCATTGATCTCCTTAAACCACGCTGCAAATTACATATTAGAGCCTTCAATGTCCGCACCCTCCGTCAAATTGGTTAACATGCTTCGTTGGCAACGACTCTAGCAACTCGGGCCATCGATGTGTGCTGTGTTTGTGAGACACGCATACAGGACCCAAGTGCGGTTATTCACCTCACATCTCCAGGCCAAACTAGTGAATCCGCAAAATTCACCCATCGAGTTTCTGGAGATTCGATAGCTAGCTCTCAGGGTCTTGCAGGTGTAGGCATAGCATTAGGCACTAGGGCAGAAAGCTCACTACTAGACTAGATCATAGTTGACAGTCGTCTATGCGCCGTCCGGCTGAACGACACAGTGAGAAGAAAAAGGAATAGTGAAACTCGCTGTTGTCCCTTTGTAATCTCTGCTTACGCACCCACTGACTGCAGTTCAGATGAAGTGAAGGATGAGTTCTACCGAAAATAGTCTCCTCTCGAAAACCAAACGTTTGGACGGGGGGTTGTTGCAGGTGATTTCAACCCAGGTGGGTAGACTGAGTGAAGCAGAAAGGCACTTAGGTGACACTTTCGGAGTCCCGGCTGAACGAACAGATAAAGGTGATCGCTTACCAGAACTGAGCTCAGATAACCGCCTAGTTTTAGCTAGCATAAATTTCAGACATAAAGAAAGACACTCTACACCGAGCTCAACTCAGCTATGGACACAGATAGACCACATTGTTATTAGTCATCACTGGAGAGGATCGGTGGGAGACTGCCGCTCTTGGAGTACATGCTTGGATAGCGACCACACGTTGGTCCGAGTGCGTATATGCCTGCGTCTCAATGGACACGGGAAAAATTTGGCAACAAAACCCCTACGAGTGCTGCCGGACAGCGAAAACACCAAAGTGGCTTTCAGTGAGAAATTGGCTAGGCAGTTATCGGGACACAAGACTATCACTAATCCAGAAGAAGCTTGGTGCCATCTCCAGTCTGCTGTAAAAGCAGCGCCGAAGACCGTAGCCGACTCCAAAAGAGTGGCTAAAAAGAGCCAGCGGATATCAGCAGCTTCTTCCGAACTAATGGATGCGCTTGAACGCATCCCTGCAGGCTCTGAGTACAATGAAGAGCAAGCGTAACTTAAAATTAGATTGAGAAAAAGTCTACACAACGACCGCGAACAATGGGAGGGGGCAGAGAAGGCTAAAGAGATGGAAAAAGGAAGTGGCGATTGGTAACAGTAGAAAGTTATATAGACTTATTAGGAAAACTGGGGGGACGGAAGGTCAACTGTGGTTAGTGAGGCTATAGCAGAGAAGGACGGATCTGCGATTCACTCGAAGAGGAGACAACTGGAACGATGGGCAGAACACTTCGATGAACAGTTTAACTGGCCTCCAGCCACCGTTGCGTTGCCCGCTATCCAGTCGGATCCTGAGTGGAACATTGAGATAGGCCGCCCAACACTAGCAGAAGTCGGTAACTTGAAACGAGGGACGGCAGCAGGAACAGACGAACTAACTTCTGAGGTATACAAGGATGCTGATAGAGTGCTCTTAGTTAGGTTAACGGAATTATTAACTAGTATATGGGAATCAAATACGATCCCCTCTGACTGGTCTAAATCACTGATTATTACAGTCTTCAACAAAGTCGAGAAGTCCTCTTGTGGTAACCATAGAGGAATTAGTCTGACGAACATAGTGTCTAGGATTCTATGTTCTATAATTCTTCGAACGCCTGAGGGGAGCTCGGGAACAGCGAGCCCGAGAAAATCAGGCAGCCTTTAGACCCAGGCGCGGGTGTACCGACCAAATATTCACACTACGCAAGGTCCTGGAACACAGACACGCTTACCAACAGCCGACAATAGCTGTATCTCTCGACCTGAAGGCGGCATTCTACTCCGTTGGTCAAGAAGTCTTATGGCAATGTATCTCACTGAAAGGGGTCCCGACTAAGTACATCACCTTATTGAAGGCTCTCTACTCGAACAATTGTGGGCGTTAGGGCCAATGGTGAGATATCCGGGGAGCTGTACTCATCGAGTGGTGTCCGTCAAGGATGCCCACTTTCTCCATACTTGTTCAATTTTATCATAGATATTCTTATGGAGGTCTCTCGTCACCTGACTACTCAGACGTTGATCTAATCACAGGAGAATTTTCGCTAGACCAAGAATATGCAGATGACATTATCCTGTTAGGTAAAGATGTTAACAAGATGCAGAGTCTTCTCAACACTGAGTGGCAATCTGAGAATGCTTGGGAAGCGTTTCTCACCACCCAAATGCAAATTGCTGCTCCATGATTGGTCTTCAACGGTGTCTCAGCTAACAATAGAGAGTGCAGTGATTGTGTCGACCACTTCATTTACCTGGGAAGTAGGATAAGCCCTGGTAGCTTTAGCTAACTTACGCCCCCTGTGGCGCTGTCATGACATCCGATTGTCTATTAAGGGTTGGGTGTACTGCACAGTAGTCCGCTCCGTTCTACTGTATGGTTGTGAAACATGGCCATTAAAGGTGGAAGACATGAAAAGGCTTCAGGTGTTTGCTACCGTTGCCTTCGTAGTATAGACCGTATTCAGTGGTATCACCACGTGAGTAACGCAGAAGTCAGGTATAGAGTTTTAGGGAGAAGAGGTAAGTCACTTGACGAAGTTATGAACCTTCACAGACTGAGATGGTTGGGACACGTGTTACGTATGCCTAGTCACCGTCTGCTCCGTCACACAATGTTGGCCGAAGTAGGTTCAGACTGAAAAAAGGTCAGAGACGGCCAGACTAAAAAATGGTATCAGTGTATGAAGTCTTTAACTGTTGGTTTAAGTCATGTGGGGCGATGCAGACTAGCGGGTTGGAGTCCGCGGGACAAGAGGAATCAGTGGCTAGAGACTCTAGATGACCATATGGCTCAGAACCGATGTCACTGGCGCAGATGGACACACATACACACATTATCCCCATCTTAACGACGCCATACCAAATCTCACCATTTTCTCATTCTTCTTTTCTCTCTTTTAGTACTTTATATTTCTCTTTCGACTGAATTTTCTTTTCTTTATCTTCCACTTCACTGCCTTTTTACCTCATGTGGTGATATAAGGTGTGGCAACTCGCAGTAATGCCTGGTCCTCTGTTGATTTGGATGGATTGCACATCACAATGGCCCAACGAGCTATGCTGGTGGGAACATGCATTACTTGATGTCCCATTATGCCAAAAAGACATACTGGATATTAGCGGGATAAAAGACGGTTACTCATAGTTTAAACTGCCACATTATGATAGGAGAGGGTAAAGACGTACTGCTGACTGGACGGTGGTGTGACAGCAATGAAGTGTTCCCTGCAGTACCATATAGAGACTGCCTTCTCTATGGGAAGAGAAATTAGATAACGTCGACTCCCAAGAAAGAACAATCCACTCATTCTATGGCATTCTGGTATTGATCGTATGAGTTTTTTTTTAGCTAGATTTAAGTCAATAAAAGCTAACCGTCAAACTTTTTAAAAAGCCGAGTGTGACAGGCCTCGAGCAGATGTTCTACGGACCCTATCGTCAAGCAATTCGAATCCCCTTCAGGGTATTTCAAGAATAGGTAAGCTTCCACAATCAGGAAAAGGGTAAAATGTCAACCTGTCAGATTTTTTTTCAGTTCAGAAGTCCCCTCTGATCATCATCCATCTTCCGCATCGCTGCCTTCTAACCTTTATTCACACCGTTCGGTCAATGTTTCTGTTCAATCCTTAATTTCGCCTAGCTTTCGATAAACACTCACGTTCAAAAATTAGATTCCCTTGTCACCCGAAATCGCACTTCACACTACATACTGCAGATCCTAATATCCGAACTCTCCGTCAAATCAGTTATCGGGCGTCGCTCACCAAAACTCCAGTACCTCGGGCAATATGCTGTGTTTGTGAGGCACACCTACAGGACTCATGTACGATTATTCAGCTAACTTCACGCGGCCAAAATCGTAAATTTGAGAAATCCACCTTTCGTGTTTTTGGAGATTCAATGATTAGCTCTCATGGTCTCGCAAGCAAACGTTTGGCATTAGCTAATGATGCAGGAAATGTAATGCTCGACAGGATGTGAAGTGGCAGTCATGTGCGCGCTGTGCAGCACTGAGTACTGAAAAAAATAATCAAAATCGTTGTTGTCTCTTTGAAATCTTTTCTTATACATCAGTTGTTTGCTGCTCCGATGAAGTGAAGGACGAGTTTCGCCGGAAACTGTCTAACCTACTACTGAAAGCTAGACGTTCAGAAGTGCTTTTCGTAGCAGGTTTCAATGCGCAAATGGTTGGGCTAATTGAAACAGAAAGGCATTGTCAGAATTCCACCAGAGCCAACAGATAAG